CCTCTTTGGTCTTGCAATTGTGTATACATACACACACAAACACATGTGTCCATTTCACAGACCCCATTGCCCACCTGGTCCCCGATGCCTCTTTTCCATCCAAATATAGCAGTTGTTCTGGGCCACGCCAGTCTGGGAGTCAAGGAAGGGGAGACGCACGCTCCGCTCTGCACACAGCCTTGAGTTGTAGCTACGGCAATGTTCAATCGCTTCCTTGTAGAACTGGTCCCCAAGCCTGCCAAGAGGAAAAGAGCAGAAACATCAAACCTAATGTTTCTTCACACACACATGCGCGTGCACACACACACACACACACAACATATTTTTTTCTGAGTTCAAAGTGAATATGATCTCATCCATCTTTAACACATCCCTAAAAATAGGTAAAGGAAAGTTATCATTTCCTAGTTATAAAAAAAGGTAATACCAATGAACCAAGAGCTATTTGATATCAGAGCTAGCCTGAGCAGGTTCTCACTGAACAGCTAGGTGGTGCAATGGATAGAGCTCTAGATCCGGAGTGAGAAAGATCTGGGTTCAAATGTGCCCTTAGAGACCTACTAGCAGTGTGACCCTGAGCAAGTAACTTCACTTCTGTCTCAGACAAATGAGATAACACACATAAAATGCTTTGTGGACTTCAAAGCACCATATAAATGCTAGTTATTATTATTACTTTACTAAGCACATTTACATTCATGTAGAAAGAGTATACATTATTATCCCCATCTTACGAATGAGGAAGTTGAGACACACAGAATCCAAAGTCGCCTAACTAGACAGGAATTGGGCTAATTTTGTTCTAAGCACAGTCCCACCATTACTAAGTTCAGTGCTCTTTCTACTATCAGGGCTGTTATAAAGAGATATAGTTGTAAAGTGCTTTGCAAACTTTGAAATATTATGTAAATATTAAACATTATCATTGTTATCATTTTTACTCTAAAATTCACCAAGTAACTTAAAAATCCCGCTAACAATGAGAGTAGGATGCTGAGAATCAGCTGCCTTTAATAAAGACTGGTGCATTTGAGGGGAGACAACCAGCTGTGCTTCAAATTATCCATTAAAATGATAGTTGTAGTCAACCTGCTACGTGGTTAGAAAACATAGCCATTCTAGACATCAGATCAGACTGGAAGAGCAATATTACTCACTTTGTGTATTTGTTTACTAGTGATGGAGGGTCTCCATGAGGCAGTATGTCATAGTCAAGTGAGGACTAGCCTTGGAGTCTGAAAGACCTGGGTTCAAATTCTGTCTCTGATACATCCTGTGTCATGATGGGCAAGTTCACTGAAATTCTCGCCCCCTGGCAAATCTCTGTAAAGACTTTAAATTATAAATGAGCTGCTAAATGCATTGGAGCAAGGGGCTTCCACATCAATAGGTTCCCCCTATGAGTGAAATTCAGGTCCTGAGTACAAACCCTGGCAGGTCCTACCAGGCTGAGAACGTTTTAGATTGTTGTTCAGTCGTGTCCAATTCTTCATGACCTCATTTGGGCTTTTCTTGGGCAAAGATACTGGAGTGGTTTGCCACTTCCTTCACCAGCTCATTTTACAGCTGAGGCAAATAGGAGTTAAGTGACTTAGCCAAGGTCACACAGCTAGTAAGTGTCTGGGGTCGGATTTGAACTCAGGTCTTCCTGATTCCAGGTGCAGCCACTCTATCCACTGTACTACCTAGCACTAACCCCACAACAGGCTAAATGGCCATGAGCCCAAGACCCATCAACAACAACCATCCTTTGGCTGGGAGGCTGGCCAAAGATGATTTTTTTTAGCCACAGGAATTCTAAGGTAGAGAGTTTAGGATCTTTGCAAGGTAAAAATCCAACAAATCTCTTAAAATCATATATTTGCAGAAAAATAACTATGATCAAACACTAATATTTTTTTAAATATTTCTAACAAATCTATATGCAAAATATCACCTCTGAGGTTTTTGACAAGAAAAAAAAAAGCAGTCTGGTAAAATGTGGCAATTTTCAGATTTCTGAGTGTGTGGTTCGCTTCAGCCAGTGTAAATGCTACTAATTCAGAGAAATTGTAGCTTTCTTTATTATATTTTACTTGACAAGTCACATTCCAGAGACTAAAAGAACATTAATTGCGCAGTTGATCACAAGTAAAATATGAAAATGACCTTGAAAACAAAATACATTACAACCATAACCAACTTTGTACAGGGGGAGTGAGGGAAAGGGGAGCAGCCAGTGAAGAGAGAAAAGTGAAGATACAAATATAACTGCTTAACTATCCACCAGTTAAAACATTCTTTTTAAGCAGGGGAGGGGGAGAGACTAGCTCAAAATGAAACCACATAATAAATGAACTTTCGTTTTGCTTGCATGTGAATATGAGAATGAAAAAAAGGGGGAGAAATGAAAAGTTTAAGATAACAGTTCTAAAAAAGAAAAATTTCAATAAAAGATGAAAATACAGTTTAAAAAATTTTGTACTATTTTTAAAAGCAGCAACATGGCATAGTGAACAGTGAACTTATGCTGGAGTCAGGAAAACCAGGATTCAAGTTCTGCTTTGCTGTGGAAACATGAACAAATCACTTAATTTCTCAACTCCCCCAGGCATCTTTGAGACTCAAGTTACAGAGGAATTGACTATCTGTATCAGTAGGAAAAAAAAGTTTCTACAATAGATCTCCATATAGACAAAATCATAAATCCAGAACCTCACCTCCCAAAGTACTAAAAAATAAAAACTATTCAAGGACCTAATCTTCCTAGTGAATCTGAAGCAAACCTCTCACTTTAAGAAGACTCATTAACCCTTTCATACTTCTAAGATACCATTTACAAATTACCTTCTACACTGCCCAGGACAGATCCTCCCAAAGAGTTAATTAATGCATGTGAATTTTGGCTTCCTTCCCTCCAGAAGGTGCATGCTCATTTAATATTCTCAGAATCACAAGGAAACATACATAAACGTATGAAATTGCAATACTAGCTCCGAACCAAAGTGTAATCAAATTAAAGCAAATACACATCACACACAGCTGGAGAGGAACAGAGGGGGGAAATGAGAGCTTATTAAAATGCTATAAAACAAAATGGCACATAATCTGGTGTAATCAAAGTTAATAACAAGGAAGAGAAGATAGACAAGAGAGTAAGAACTAAGTTTTCCACAAATGTTTAAGTCTGCACCGCGCTCGCTGAAATTCCTCCTCACCCAAAATGCAGGACCTTCGTAGTGCAACTGAGAACTTTTACAGGAGTCATGGTATATGGAAGATGAAAACACTCTGGCCTAGATTTCCTTGGCACTAAAACACCTTGTCTCAATGAACTGAAAGCATTACCAGCTACACCACCACCACAATGATGAGAGATGAAAAGAAGATACTATGTCCAGTTGTCCAGCAGCAGTAATCTAAGTTCTTTTGAAAGCTTGCCAAAAAAGATGTTAGCTATTTAACTATTTAAACACTAGATATTTTGCTTTAAAGTAGGTTAGATGAAACTGAACAACGTGTAATTATAGTGAACAAGCCTGGTCCCAGAGTAGAAATGAGAAAAAGTACCAAAAGTGCCTCCTTTCTTTGCAGAGGTTGGGGACTATGGGTATGGAACATTGCATTCATGGTTGATGCACTGGTTGGTTTTGCCAAATTGCTTTTTTCTTCTTTTTTTAATCTTTGTTACAAGGGATGGCTCTCTGGGTGTGAAAGGTGAAATTTGAAATAACTAAGGAAACAAAGGTTTGAGCTTCTGAGCATATTGATTTATTTAGCAATTCATTGCAATTGCATGACAAATTGGAGCCAGACCTCCTCAGCTTGGCACTGGACCCCTAATACAAGAGGAGACAAATCTTCATGCACTAAAAGAAAACAATTAATAGGATATAAACCAGGATACAAGATTAGGTAATCTGATTTCTAATTGGAGGAAAGTTGGGAGGGGGGAAGAGTGAGTTTCAGTCATTTGGGAGAAGGAGAGTAGGTTTTGAGGTGTTTCCTTTCCCAGAATTGGGAGATACTGATTAATTGCATCTACCTTCATTTTACGAAACAATAGATAGTTTATGCCATTTATTTTCCCATGAATGATTTTCAGAAAAACAACACAATGGAGGTTAATATATGTGGCAGCACAAGATAGAGTCAGTGTTTATAAGATGGAATCTGATTGGTTCTCTCAAGCCTCACACCAAACCAACTCCATTTTGTGACCACTCTATTTTGTCAGGGTAGGGGCAAGGGAAGAAAGATATTCAGAAACAAAAGTGATATAAAAAAATCAATAAAAATAAGAAAAGGGCAGGTTAGCTCACAATTGAACATATGAGGAAGCAAAAAGAACACTGGCCTTGGGATCATGAGATATGGGTTTGAATGTTACCTCAGACACTAGCTGTGTGAGTCTCAACAAGTCATTTAACGTCTGAGTCTCAGTTTCCTTATCTGAAAAATGGGGATCATATTTGCACTACCCACCCCAAAGAATTATTGTGAGGAATGTACTTTGTAAAATTTAAATTGTTATAGAAATTTAAGCTACCTATAGAAATATTAGCAATCTAATGGAAAGGGCACTGGATTAGAAGTTAGAAGACCTGGATTCTAGTCCTGCTTACTTACCTTAAAGGCAAGTGACTTATCTTTCAGGATCTGTTTCCTCATTTGTCTGTAATATGAGTGAGATGGACAAGTTATTCTCAAAAAATCTTTCCAAGTTTAAATCTATGATCCTATGATTAGATGATTTCTGCTAGTTTTGACAGTCTAGGGTTCTATGTTTTTATTCAAAATAAAACCCTTTAGGGCAGGAATGGGGGTGGGAGAGGGGAAGGAATGAAGGAAGATTTCCAATAAGCATTCCTCTGCAATATTGATAATGTAATTCCAACAGAACAATCTAAAAGCAGAGGAAGCAGAAAGTGAATTTGCTTAAAGTGAAAAATAAAATTGTAAGGTACTTATAGATTATGAATTTGATCTTGACTAAACATAACCCCCTTATTTTACATTTGGGGAATCCAAGGCAGAGATTTAGTGACTTTTTTAAGGTCTCACAGGTTATTTGATAGCATGGCCAAGATGAAGACAAGTCAGCAGCATTTATTAAGTACTTACTATGTGCCAGGAGGGCAGCTAGGTGGTACAGTGGATAAAACACTGGACTTGGAATCAGGAAGAGTCATCTTCCTGAGTTCAAATCCAGCCTCAGATACTTATTGGGTGACCCTGCGCAAGTCGCTTAAGCCTGTTTGCCTCAATTCCTCACCTGTAAAATGAGCTAGAGAAGGAAATGACGAACCACTCCAGTATCCCTGCCAAGAAAATCCCAAATGGAATCATAAAGAATTAGACATGACTGAAACAACTAAACAACAATGACAAGGGGACAGCTAGGTGGTACAGTGAATAGAGCTCCAGGCTTGGAGTCAGGAGGACCTGAGTTCAAATCTGGCTTCAGATACTTGACACTTACTAGCTGTGTGACCCTAGGCAAATCACTTAACCCTGATTGCCTCCCCAAAAAGCAATAAATAAATAAATAAATAAATAAACAAACAAACAAACAAAAAATTTAAAAATAAAAAAAGAATTGAACTGAAGTCCTTTAAGGCTCCATCCTTGAACCTCTAATCAGTTATCCCAAGACTACAGTTATCACATTTTTTTTAGCAATTGACTTCAAATCTCCATCCCTAGACATAAACTCTTTCCCAGGCTTCAAACTTGATTTTTCTAACTGTTTACTAGACATCATTCCCTTAGATGTCCTTTTAGCACCTCAGTTCAACATATCTAAAACCAAATTCATCATCATTCCTCTTAGACCTAGTTGGATACCCAGCTTTCTTATCTGTCAATGGCATCATCATTCTCCCAGCCACCCATGTTTATCCTTACCCCTGTTCCTGGAAGGCAGAACTAGATGCAATGGTTGAAAGTGAGAAAGAGGTAGATTTAGGCTTAATATAAGGAAATACATCCAAGTTATTCAAGCTTTTCAAAAGGAGAATGGGTTTCCTCTGGAAGGAGGGAGTTCTCCTTCACTGGAGAACTACAATCAGGACTGGATAATCACTCATCAAGGATATTGTAGATAATATTCCTGCCTTAATATAACTTGAACTAGATAATTTGAGAGGTTCCTTTAACCTTGTAATTCCATGACCTTGGAGTCATTTTTTACTCCCTCCTCTCCCTGGATCATTTATCAAATCTTATTGATTCTACCTCCATGATCTCCGATATCCACAAGTGAATGAATGAAAAAGCAGTTGTTAAGCTCTTGCCTGGAATGTAAAACACTGTACAAAATGCTAGGAGTAGCAAAGTGAGACACTCCCTGCTCACAAGGAGCTGACATTCTAGTAGGGGGCAATAGCATTTAAAGGAAGTCTTAGCTACAAGTCACTTGGAAAGCTTTAGTGGTTCTTAGGGTACAGCAGCAAAGCAATGGTAGTGAATCCTCTTTAGTGTCATTTCACTGATAAAATCATATCTGTTTCTGATGCTGAACTATTTGACAATGCCAAGGATTATAGTGCCAAGAACTTCCTTTTCTGGATTTTCATTAACTTTGCCATCCTTAGCATTCCCAGTGCCACAATGCTATATAAATCCCTCATTATTACTCATCTGGACTCTTTAGCTTCCTTACAGGTCTCGCTGTGTCAAATCTCTGGCCCCACCAATCCATCCTTATGTGCCATTATTGAATTAACTTTTACAAAAGATCACAAAAGTCTGATTATACCACCCTACTCCTCATAAAATCTTCAGATGGCTTCCAAAAGAGGAAATAAAATTTCTGGCTTAGCATTCAAGGCCCTCCATGAACTGGTTCTAGCCTACCTTTACAGCCTTATGTGACATTCCTCCCCTTCACAAATTCTGTGCTATAACCAGAGCTACTCACTCACTACCCCAGACAACATACAACATTCTCCACACTCTCAGACTTTCCTCCTCCTGTTCCTATGTCTAAAATGCCATTCCTCCTCCCACCTTTTTCTGTCAACATCCTACTCATCCCTGAAGGATAAGTTCAAATGTCACCGCTCTGTAAAAACTTTCCTTGATTTCCATAGCTGAAAAAGATCCCATTTTCATCTAGACTTCTGTGCTCTTATTTTTTAATCTTGCATTATATTTATCTGTGTACTAGCCTAATCACCCATACTAAATTGAAGGCAGGGACCAGGTCTCATTTATCTGTACATCTCCTCCAAACTTTTCATAGTGCATTGCACCTAAAAGTTGACCAATAAATGGTTGATGAATGAATGACTGAATGAATCTTGTGTCCATTTCCATTCAGAAAGACTGGAGTTGTATAGCTGCCCACCACTCCCCAAGCTCCTTAAAACAAGAAGGCTAGGTTGGCTTTCTTCATCACTCTACTTGACCAATTTTAGATAATGCTGGAGCCAAACAGGGCATTTTGTTCATGCTGTTCCCCTATCTGGGCTGCCTTTCCTCTTTTCTTTCATGTTATTAGACCCTACTCACCTTCTCCATGAAGCTTTTCCCAGCTATACCAACCCACATTGATCTCTTCCTTCTCTGTACTCTCATCACATTTAATTAGTATCTCATTATTTAATGATGAATCGCTCTCAAATTCTTTCATTTGTATTAGTACTGTCCCCTCTTCTTCCCCTTACTCCACCTCAACTAAATTGAAGTGATGAAATATTTTCAATTTAGCAATCTGAAAGTGAAATGATGGTCTGTCTCAGTAGGTGGAAGGTTCCTTCTCACTAGAGGACTTCAAGCAAAAATCAGATAATGCCTTACCGGGGCACATAAACTCTTTTAAAATTAGGTTGATAGCTATATTTCAATGTAATTGATTTCCATTATAATCCAATGTATTTTATGCATTTAAAAACATTATTCTGAGAAGGGGTCCATAGGTTTCACCAGATTGCAAAAGGGGTACCTGACACACACAAAAATGTTAAAAATTCCTTTTGTAGAAGAAATTTTTGGTCACTTAGTTGGCCTCTGAGCTTGCTTCCAACTCTGAGATTCTATGACTATCATACTTCTATACTCACATATCATCTAGTAAACAGGTGGACACCCTCAAATACCTGCTGATTGAGTGACTGATTGAAATGCAATGTCATGCTATTTGCCATATTTATTCAAGTGTCATCTCCTACTAAGGTCCTATTCAATTCATCATGTGGTGAAAAAGACTGGGTTTTCAAAGGCTACGCTAATGAAGAACAAGTTTTAGAAGAGGCTATCAAGCTA